CTTGCTTAAATTGGACGCAATCTTGCTAAATATCGCCACCTTGTAGTCACTTCACTTATGCGTGAATAGTGATTAGAAAACTGCAAACCAAATTTTATTGGCTGATTTGAAAGCCTGCCACATGCTCTCTCAATTGAGACTAAATTTCTTTAGGACATAACCTCAGATGATGATATGCAAACCACTCAAGTTTCACCGAGTAAGTATGCTTCGGTAAAAAGACTGGTCCTGGAATACGTACGCAATCGCTGTTTTCACTCGTTTCAATTTATACATATTAGACCTTTAGAGCAGCAGAACTTGGAAGACTGCTATAGTAACCTAATAAACTCGGAACTTATTACTCTTTTCACAAGGGCCAAAACTTGAAATATCATGTGATGAAAAATCCTGATGATTGTTTATTGTACAAACTATATAATTTCGGGAAAGTAGCGAAGGAAAAATGCACAGTAAGAATCAATGAGAAGTTTCTGAGCTTTTACAAGATGCATTCTACCTTATCTATCACAGGTCAATATCCTAGCACCTTGTATAAAAATCTATTTATACAAAACGCAGACAATTTGAAAGGATTTTTTTGAGTAATAACGAATGATGCAAAGTATTCCGTCCTATGTCACCTAAAGACACGATGCAATGGCATTCTTTTTCCCTGACATGGATAACTATTATCCTGACAAAACAACTGAGAAATGCGATTTTCTTCTTCTTAGGTGACACAATAACTCGAAATGGCAACATTAGTTCGCATTTCTATTCTTCTTCACAGCAATCACATCCAATATGGGTTGACGTTTTGTTTGATACCTGGAGTTTTTGACAATGACGCATATAAAAATTCTAGTTATTAGAACTCCAAAGCAGCTGGAATAAAAAAAAATTACCTCCTTTGCAGCTCCCGCAACTCTTCATCCATCTCCGCCTCGAGGTTGTTTTTCCGCCGTAACAGCTCATCAAGCGAAAGCTCTCGCAACTGATGAACACAAATAGAAAAACGGGCGCTCAAATGGTGCATCACTTACGAATTCATAGTCCCCATCAGCCATTGATTTATGAAAGCGGTTTTCGTACTCAGCTTCCGTATTCACTAAAAAGAATGCAATTGAGCCAAATTTGCAACCCAGTCAAACGAATAGCACATCGGTTCAATGCAACAGAAAGACGAGCCTTTTATCCACGAGGTGTATAAAGTACAGGATCTCAGACTAACATTCAATTTTTTTTGAAAGATATATATCAACAGCACAGTCTAATAAAAATATTTTGCGAGAACTTACGTATACTCGATGTCGTTGAAGATCCTGATTCCCCAACTGGCGTAGCCGTCGTCGTCAATTGATATTCGGGTTTCTCGATCAATGAACCAGATTTCTGATAAGGAGGTGGAGCGCCTAATACTGAGCCTGGTATTTGGCCACCGATACGGAGGGATTCCATTTGAGACTTGAGACTCAAAGCCGTGATGAACTGATCTGTTTGGATAAATACAGTCTAAGATTAACAAAAAAAATTAGCCTCAAAATGCGAAAGGCGAGATAGAAGGACAAACTTACCTGCGGCGACAGGATTCTCGACCAAGGTACGATCGTCCGGATTATTTCCGGTCAAAAGCGTTTTACCATCCAGTTGCGCTCCAATCATTGTCGCTGCATCCGGTTCTGCTGGAGGTACATTCTGAATACATAAGCTTCAAAGAGACCTATTTTTGGTTTAGAATATTGATGCGCGACTGCTATAAGTAGGAAATTACAGAACTAAAAATATTAGTAAAAACTAGTGATACTGAGCTGATGAATCAGAGGAAGTTTTTGATCGCTAATATCAAACTTCTACTATCGTT